GAATGGGATCAGATGCCTCATTTCAGAAGAATGAGGCTTCACCCCAACAACCACATTGCGCTGGACTGGGAACCCCATATGATTTCCTTCCTGACCCCTCTCCCTCTCCTCAAGCTGATCTGAGTCTCTTGCTTCTACTAATTACACCCTGCTCATCAATCTCCTCTCTATGTAACCCCGGATACCTCATTCAAAACTCCTAATCCAATCAATTAGCTGTTGTTGCAAGACTACCAGCTGGTAGCCATGGACCTAGAGACACAAAGACCACCAAGCGCCCTCAAATCAACTATCTGTGCCTCCTGAGTGCATGGAAAGGTCTAAGAGTTCCATACAGCCTGAGCTGCAATCAAACAACCAGGTACCCCAGGATGTGGCAGCACCTAAGCTTACACTCAGACCACCCTTATACTCCAGGGCCAAATAGACTCATTTGCCACCACAGTGCTACAAAATCAGCAAGGATTAGATTTACTAACAGCAGAGAGAGGTGATCTTCGTCTCTTCCTTGGGGGAGGAAAGTTGCTTCTATGTCAACCGGTCAAGTACAATGATAGACAAGATCTGACAACTCCAGATAGATCTCCAAAGACACACAGCTCGATGCCAGTGGCTTGCTGACAGTCTAATATGGAACTGGATAGTATACCCTTCTTAAACTCCTTTCTCCTCATTTTCTTAACCATGCTAGTCAAACCCTGCCTTATAAACTTCTTGTCTAGATTTCTTCAACAAGAGATTCAAAGGATCTCTAAACAGACTTAATCAGTTGCTATAGGATTAAAAAGGAACAGAGCCAGAAGCCAGTGACACCCAATTATACTGACAATGAAAATCAAGTTCAAAAAAAAAAAAAAAAGAAAAGAAAAGAAAATCAAGTTCACCCAAAGGACGTGGACATCCTGATTCAGCAGGAATCAGTCTGATACCATGGTCTCCCTTTCCCATAAACTGATTGTTTACCAATAATAAACAAAAATGGGGAAATGTAAGCCTCTCAAGGCACACAAGTGGCCAGGCCCCTCCCCCAAGGACCTCCAACTTCCAGGTTCCTTCCAAAGAACATTCTAACTCCCTAACAGCTGGACCCAGGCCCTTCCCTCCAGAGTAAAAAGCCCAAGCTCTGGATCTGAAATCCCACCAATTCCCATCCTGGAAAGCTCCACCCAACCCACACCCCCCAAGACACTCCATATAAGCTCTGCCTTCTGCTCAGTTCTCTGCTGTTTCTCGCTTGAGAAGAGGCAGCCACCCTCCTGGGTTCTTTCCTCCCAATCTCTTGTGAGGTTTGTTGTATGGTATGACTTTGCAGTATTTCTTGACTCCTGAATGTCAGGTTACCTTTCCTCTCAGAGCTGTAACACATCATGGAGCTCACCAAATATGGTATCATTTCTACTTGATTACTGCTTTTAAAGACCTATTTCCAGCTGGGCAATGGTGGCACATGCCTTTAATCCCAGCACTCAGGAGGCAGAGGCAGGGGGATCTCTTGAGGTCAAAACCAGCCTGGTCTACAGAGCAAGTTCCAGGACAGCCTCCAAAGCCACAGAGAAATGCTGTCTTGAAAAACCAAGAAAGAAAGAAAAAAGACCTATTTCCTATAAGCTCCACCATCAAAATTCAGTCCAGAGAACAGCTCAGGTACTTGGCACTCAGTGGATCCTCAAGGCATACTAGCCAGTAGGAAGCAAAGGACCAAATAGAAGAAATAGTAAATTCTAAAAAGACTGACTACCATTTAGGAGAAGGGCATGGAGGGCTTGTTTTTTCTTGTAACAGCAAAGTCTCAGATAAAATTCTGATGGCCTGGCATGCACTGACTACATCCTCATCTTGGGGTAAGCTCTAACTGGGTTACTTGACTGACAAACTTCCAATTTTACTCCCTGAGAAAGCTGAAAGCCTCATCAGAAATCGTTCATAATAGGTCCAGGATGAAGATAAAGTTTGGAATGTTTTTAGACCTACTATGGTTCAGGGTGTAATAAATTTCTTTACATTTCCCCATAGTGTATGGACAGACTTTCTCTTGCTAACACAAGGTTTTGAACTTATTTATTCTTATATACATGTATCCTGACAGAACTGGAGAATGGCTCAGGAATTAAGAACATCTGCTGCTCTTACAACACTTCTCTGTAGACAACTGCACACACCTACAGACAGAAACACAGACATAAATGGAAACAACTCTTTACAAAGTATCAGGACGGGATGGCAACATTTCCAAAAGAAGAATGGACAGCAGAGACTTTACCCACATTCCTTGAGTCTAAACCCTAACCTTCTGGAGTAAGAAAAAATGGAGGGTATGATGGCTACGTAGTCAACTTGACTACATCTGGAATTAACTAAAACCCAAAAAATAGAGGACATACCACTGAGGGATTGTTTTTTAATTTCAAGTGGGAAGATCCACTTGAGACAGGGTCTGTGTAGCCGTGGCTGTCCTGGAAATCACAGATCCATCTGCTTCTGCCTCCTAAGAGCTGGGATCAAAGGTGTGCGACACCTGGCTTGAGATCCACTTCCAATCTGGATCTTGAGCTGAGACCACCTGGAAGTCTATGTAAGGAAGTTTTTGCTCTTTGCCTCTTTGCTCTCACCTCGCCAGCAAGTCCATTCCTTCACTGGCTTTAGAGACTACTTCTTCTGAATTCTGGTGTATAGTGAAGACCCTCTGAGACACCCAGCCTTGTGGACTGAGCAACTACTGGATTCTTTCCATTTGTAGCCAGCCATTCTTGGATTAGTGAGACTGCACCTGTAAATCATTCTAATAAATCCCTTTCTATAGAGATTCATTCTAAAAGTTCTGTTACTCTAAGGAGCCTTAACCGAGAGGGTTCTGTTTGCTCTTGTCCTATTACTCTGGGATTCACTCTGTAGTCCAGGCCATCTTTGCTTTGCCTTGTTTAAGGCTTTTACTGCTATGATAAAACACCATAACAAAAAGCAACTTGGGGAGGAGAGGGTTTGTTTCAGCTTACAGCTCTCAGGTCACACTCTGTCACTGTATGAAGTCAAGGCAGGAACTGAAGCACAGGCCATGCAGGTGTACCGTTTACTGATTTGGGCTCTTGTACTATCCAGGATCACCTGCCTAGGGGTGGCCCTACCTACCATGGGCTGGGCCCTCGCACATCAATCATTAAGAAAATGCCCCCACAGACTTCCTACAAGCCAATCTTAAGTATTTTCTCAATTAATATTCCCTCTTCCCAGATGTCTAAATTTGTTGTCAAAAACCAACAAGCACAGAGATCCACCTGCCTCTGCTGAGACTGAAGGTGTGTACCACTATGCTGTTTTGTTTTTTTTTGAAACAAGGTTTCTCTGTGTGAGTCCTGGCTGTCCTGGAAACTCTGTAGACCAGGCTGGCCTCAAACTCACAGATATATCTCTGCCTCCTGGGTGCTGGTATTAAAAGCATGCACCACCATGCCCAGCTTGCTTTGTTTTTTTGTTTTTTGTTTTTTGTTTGTTTTGTTTAAATGCACTTTGAATCTTCACAAGTTTACCATATTTAAATCTGGGACATGCCACATATGATTTGGTCCCGTGTCCTATCCCCTAATCCCATCAACACCCACACACCAGGCAAGTACACAGTTTCTTGTAAATTCTCATGTAGAGTTATTTGAGTTTTTGACAGTGAAGTCGTCACCCAATACTTTATTTGTAAAGCATACACAGTTTGTTAGCTAAAGGAATTCTCATGAATCACATTATTAGAAATACTTTAATAATTTGTTTCATGAATTCATTTTTTTAGCCTAAGAACAAATGAGGGCTTATAAAGTCTTATAAAAGTTACTTTTAAATCAGGATAGAAAACACACTGTGAAGATGGTGACTCCCATGCATTGGCTGCTAGCTCAGAGACAAGCTGAAGCCAATAAGCTACATGTAAGATGTCAGAAATGCTTGGAATTTGGACATTGGATGTATGAATGCAAAGGAAAAAGAAAGTACCTCCACAGGCCTTCAAGAACAGCAGAGCTGAAGAAAGCTTTAAAAGAAACTAGATTGTTGCAGCAAAGCATGGGAGAGACTAATATAGAGAGAAAAGCCAAGAAGAGGTCTAAAAGTGTCACGAGTTCCAGTACCTCTAGCAGTGACAGTTTTGCCAGTGAGTCTTCATCAGAGAGCCAGACATCTGCCTCATCCTCCTCAGAAGACAGTGACTTGGATGACAGGTCTCTAGCTCCTCCTCTTCCTCCTCCTCCTCTTCGGACTCAGACTCAGACTCCAGCCACCTCCAGCAGCAGCAGTCGCAGTACAGAGTAGCTCAGATGATGAGCCACCAAAGAAAAAGAAATACAACTCCCTCCACCGGACTAATGGACCAAAAACATCAGTGTGATTCACAGGGGAATTGAAAACATCAGACCTTTCTAAATATTCGCCATTGTACAGAATATTAATAAAAGTTATATATATATGCACACACACACACACACACACACACACACACACACACACACATATATATTGCACATTTATTTTAGGAATGAATATTGTGTTCTTGCTGTTTTTCTTTTTTTAAAGTTGGGGTCTCACTTTGTAGGCCAGGCTGGCCTGGAACTCACTATGTAGAGGAAAGCCGGCCTTGATTTCACAGAGATCTACCTGCTTTTGCTTCTTCTAATGCAGGGATTAGAGATATGTGCCACCATGCTCAGCTTTTGTTGATTTTTTTTTTTTTGTATTTCAAGTGTATCTGTAGAATATAATCAAAGCTGAAAACCAGGAAATCTGTTTCAATGATGTCATTTTTTCTGCCTATGAAATGAATGCCTTATGTGGATATGTGTTAAGGACAGGCTTTGAAGATACTGCATCAGAATATCAAGTAAGGAGTTGCTCTCTTTTGCTGTGTTTACTATGTGAGATTTGATACATTGTTACTTACTGTAAGTGTGGCTTTCCTACTCTTAATAAATGTGCTCTATTTTTATGTTTGTGCTCAGAAAAAAAAAAAAGAAAACACACTGTGATGATGCAAGCCTTTAAAAAACACTTTATTAATATGTTTCTCACAACTAGGGGAATCTTATTTACCAAGTAACAGAAAAATCCTTATTTTCCAGAAGGAAAAAGCACCAAGAAGCATGGCGCACCCTAACTGCTGAGTGCCAGGACTACTGGTTTCCAGAGTCTCTGAGCTCTACATCACCTGAACCTAAAGTTTTCAGAAATTCCAAATCCAGTGACTCCTGAATGACACACAGCAAACACTACTACTCCTTATACATACACACTCCCTTAGCTTATCAGCATAGACATTCCCTTTCAACTAAACAGATCAAGATTAAATACACAATACCACCTTTCATGAAGCAAGATGAGTAATTCTGAAGAAGAGCAAACATGAATGTACTGGTTGAATCAGTAATCCATTCTTTGTTCAGATGGCTTCTGGTGTCCAATAATACTTTAAAACCATTCTTCATTTATGAGAGAAAAGTACGTACAGTCCCCTTGATTGTACCCCGGCAGATGGGGCACTTTCTCAGAGAAGGGGCACATTCCTGGCAGACTACCAAATGACCACAGGGAATGAACACAATAGAAACCTCTCTGTCCATACACACTTTGCAAGTTCGTTCCTCTTGCAACCTCCGCAACTGCTCTTCCAGCGACAAGCCTAAGAAAGAACAAAAAAGAACATTAGTAAAATGCAACTTCTAAAAAGTAACAGAAATAATGTTGAAGTACTAACTGTACTTTACCTGAAACATCTTCTGTTGGAATATACTTCATATTCTTTTCCACTGAAAAAAGAAAGCATACAAAAATCATTCATTTTTTCAAATCTACTGTTTTTATATAGATTTTTGCTACATATTACAAAGAATACTACCTAGACAGTAAAATACACCAGTATTTTTGGAACAGGTAAAATGTAAAGATTACAGTTTTAACTGGATTTATTCTGCTTGCTCAACAGAGAGATGAACAAAACCCTACTGGTAACTAAATAATTTCCCTAACAAACTCACCAAATAAGTTTTCATATAATGTGGAGTCGATTTCCTTTAGACAGTTTTTGAAGATGTTGGCTGCAGCATTTCCTTTGACTAAAACGGTGTCAATCAGCTCTCTTGCTTGTAAGGGTATCTGTGTTTTCTGTCTAATAATATCATGTTCCTGTTTAGTAATTACACTGGCCTCAAGAAGATTATCCAGGATAGGAAGGACACAGGTCAACTGCTGAAAGAGAGCCATTCTATTCTTCCGTATTAATGACAAGTCACCTTCAGTTAAAAACAAGCAAGGAAAAAGTTCCGTTAAATGTCAAAGGCCCCAAGTATACCCAATGACCCCTATGCACAAATTAGGCACTAAATGGAGCTTGAAGGGGAAGGAAAATGACTTGTTTGCACCTCCATACTGCCATCATAAACTTCCACATTAAATTCAGATGTCCCACACAGCACAAATACTTTCAAGTCTAAATGCTAATGGACCTGGACCCATGTCTGTAAATTGTTGAGAACAAGCAGAAAACTTTAGAGAGTAGTAAAACATGTGCCCTCTTTTTCTTTCTCTTTCCCCACAATGGAGTTAAAAAGTAATTTATTTTTATCTGTATTATATCTCTTTATTGGTTATAAGTACAGGCACACAAACTGTCACATTCAAAATGTCAGTTAAATAAGCCAACTATCTTCCAGAGAGGGAGCCTTAGAACAGCATGAGTGGCTTGTCAAAGACCACAAAATGAGTTGCCAAACCAGTCCTAAACTAGTTGAGTTTTTTGGTTTGTTATTTACTGAGACAGGACCTTATGTATCCAGGCTCCAAATGGAGCCAAGGATAGCCCTGATCCTCATGAGTATCTTCTAGGTATTGGGATTACAGGCATGAACCATCAAGCCTGGTTTACACAGTGCTGATGTCCTTTCTGAGACTCCACACCATCTATGAACTACAGCACTCAAGAGCTTAAGCGACAAGTCAAGATGGACTTTGCTGGCCCAAAGGCAAGTCTAGACACTTCAGCCATGTCCCCCTGCTATACACCTCAGCTTTCCAATCTGAAATATGAGTAACAACACCTTCCTTACAGAGTTCAATAAAATGCATTTTATTACCTTACATTACCTGGTGCATCTTGTAAATCTAAATTTATAGTGCAGCTTTAAAAATTGAATCTAGCTTGTTCATAACAGATAACCTCACTTCAGAGGTAAGAAACCTTAAGTTTAGTTGAATGAGCTGCCTACCTGCTAACCAAAAAAATGCCAGAACTTAAATGTAAATGTGTATCAATCCAGAAGTTAGAATTTTAAACATTTTGATATATGGTCATACAATAAGGCTGTCCTGAACTAGTTAGTCCTTAAAAAAAAATCATTTTCTTCCTTGGGGGGTGGGGGGTGGGGGATGGGATGCCACCGTGTGGGTCCTGGGCATCAAACTCAGCCATCAGGCTTGGTAGCAAGTACCTCATTGGCCTGAACTATTTCTACCTTTATTTAAGGACAAAAGTGTTTTCTAACCTAATACCTCAATTTACATTACACATACAACCTTCACGTCTCTGACAGCTTTTAAGTTTTTTGTACCGCTTGTGTGTGTGTGTGTGTGTGTGTGTGTGTG